AATTAAAATGTTATAAAAAAAATAAGTAATTTCAAAATATAAATTAGTATAGAAATACATACCTTTTTTATAATAATAAAGCATAGAAGATCCAAACAGAGACGATTGAATTTATAAAGGTAATTTCTTTTTAGAAATCTCCAATATGATTCAATCACCATCATAGTACGTAAAATGGCAATATCATCAAATGATGATCGTGCCCAAAAGCACTACTGTTTTTGAGAATACTATTCGCACCAGAGATATGCCCATATCATGATTAAATTATTATTATAACAATATATGTACATTTCTGTAACATATTCAACCCAGATTATATCTTTATCATTTATAAATATCTTGTCTTCTTTACAGTCGCAGTCATAAGTATCCCACTCTGTGTAACTTGGCGCAGCAAACAGATAAGTAAAAATTTTTTTTTTATTTAAAAATATATGACCAGACATGATCTTCAATGCAATACATAATCACTATTATTAGCTATTACAGCTTCTACACGATCATTTATATCCGTCACTAATTTTGCCGCCAGACCGTCTGGCAATTGACTCCATTCTTTTACTATCACCTTTTTAACCCCTTTATTGACCGAATTTTTTTTTTTGCAAGCTTAATTTTCATGATTCCCCAGACATTTTCTATTAGATTCAGGTCTGGTGACATCGAAGACCACGGGAGTACCTTAATACCACTTTTTTCCTTCCATTTTTTCACAATTTTTGAATGGTGTTTCAGATTGTTATCTTCTTGGAGCACCCATTCTACAGAACCCTCACCAAAAATTTTATTAGTAGAAGACAGAAGACCCTTCTCATACACAGTAATCATATATTTTGCATTCAGGTTTCTCTGAAAGAGAAACAACTCACCAAACCCAGAAGCTGAAAAACAGCCCCATACATGAACCTTCGCGGGATACTTCACAGACCGAAAGACACTGTGCTTGCCAAGGAACTGCCACACTTTTTTTGGTCAATGCTTCAGATGGAATGTACTTTCATCTGAAAAAACACATTATTCTAGTTATAGTTCCTATGCTTTTTAGCCCACGCCAGCCTTTTTTCAATATGCTTATTGGTTAGCAGCAGCTTCAAAAATTGTGCAGTATATTTGCACCTGATTCACGCAGATGACGGCGAATTGTGGACTCACTGACTTCTACATGATACTTCTTCATATTTTCACAGATTTGCATGGTGATTATGTTGTTATTTTTTTTTGCAAGCTCAATTATTCTTTGATCTTGCTTTTTGGTGGTGATTCTTTTGCGACCAAACTTTGGTTGATCATTCAAGTCCTTGGTCACAGACCACCTATTAACCCAATATTGCGCTGTTTTTTTATTACAGCCGACCTCTTTTGCAGATGCAGCAAGTCCAAGTTTTAGACCCTTACGGTGAGTGTGCAAAAAAATGATCTCATATTGCTTATGTATAGAAAAAAACATTATTTGAACTTCCAAAATTCAGCGATTATCCAATTTCTGATGTAGATTATCAACGGACCTAAAAAAAGTAAGTGTGATCAGTATTTATATTGTACTACATGTTCGGGAAATTTTATGGCATTATACTTGGTTACCAGAAAATTAGCCGGGTGGGGATACTTATGACTGCGATTGTAGGTATAAGTATGTGCCGGTTAAAATGTTTTGTTATAAGATGTTTTATTTGTGTACAAATTTTTTTATTAGCAAGTTGGCTTGAATTATTTATATTTGTTTGATTTATTTCGTTAAATATAATTAGTTGCTACGAAGAATCTATTATAGGACATTGTTCATGTGCTTCAATCAAATTATACCTTACTATTTGCATTTTTGTATGTGATGACAGTTTTTGTTCAATTGCACGCTTAATGTGCTACAACATAACTGTATCTTTACGTTAATCCAAGTAACCTTTGCCGCATTAATTTGTGACATGTCCTTATCTGTATAAAATATGCCTACATTAACCAATCCTTTTGCTTTCAACATTGAAAACCATGTAAGAATTCCTGTAATATTGTGATTTCTACTAGGTGATATAAATAAATAAGAGATAGGGAACCCTGAGCAATCAATAATCACCATGGCCCCATATAATTCATATTTACTCTTATTGGTATTATACGTCACATCTACCATAAATTCTATTAAATTGCCTAATGGCAAAATATCAAGAAACGCAGTCACAAAAGCAAATGCATGTTCCTTAAAAAAAAGAAGTTCCTGGTTTTGTTTTTGAAGATATAATCTTACAGAAGTGAG